ACTCAGAAGGACGTTGGAAGCACACCAAAATGTCTGCTCTCCTTCCTGCCCAATTTGGCTCACTGTAAATAAAACTTGACAGGCTTTCTTAAATCAACTTAATAATGTGTAGCACGAGTGCTTTCGGGTGCCCAGTAGCTAAACCACATCAGCTTTCTGAGGAAGCCTTCGAGAAAAAGGCGAAAAAACTAATGACTACTGCCAAGAGTGCTGCGTCCAGGAGTGCTGGTGGCCTTGAGTGACTCATTTCACGAGGCCCCACCTCTCTACACTGGAAGGGCAGAAGTGGGAAGGAGGTGGGCCTTGAATAACCAAAGTCAGGCCTCAGGCTTATTTGTTAAAGCCAGATGCTGTCATTTTGGAAGCAGATGAGAACACAGTTATAATCATTCTGGAATCCTGATGAATTCCAGGTGCACCTCCCAGCAGCCTGGGGGAGCTGGTAGCTCAAAGTCCTCCAAGAGTTTTATTACTAGTATCATAGCAGGCTATTCCATTGCAGAGTCTATGGGGCCTCAGCATCTTTCCCTCTCATTTCAAATGGGAGTATTTTTTTGCCAGACTCTTGGAGACACTTTCTTAAAGGTGGTTTGTCAGATATACCAAAGAAGAGAATGGAAAAACAGTAGGAAGACTAGGAAAAGTTGAAGAGAGCAAGGTCTAGGTGGAAGACCTCAAGGCTCCTAAGGGAAACTGGATTAAATCGTGTTTATAACTCTAAAGTGGGGGCTAGTTCATGTCCTTAACCCGTAAGTGTACTTTTATGACACAGAGGATCACTAGCTATGGCCCATGTCATTTGGGAGAGAAGAAAAAGCATGATCAGAACCTCAAGTAGTGTTTAGGGTGGCTAGGCTTCAAGTGCACACAGCCTGAGAGTCTAGCCACATTTTAGGAGTGCCTGCGCATTCTTTAGGCCTGTTTCTCTAGGCTCCTTGTCAACCCTGTGCAACATCCTTCCAATCAACTTTTTCTTCTGTATGTTACCGTCAGTTCCTGCTTCTCACAAACAAGACCCTGAACTAGTGCAAACACCAAGAGAGCGACCTTTGCTTCCAAATGTATTTTTTTTTCCTGTTGGAGAGGCCAAACGTTCAAAAACTTATATTGCTATGCAACTAAGAAAGTATCGATTTAGACAAGATGGTAACACGTCCCTCCACGTGGCAAAATTAGCCAGTAAGCGAAAAACAGATGACTCCTTGTTCTCACCCTGGTCCTCAATTCAGGACCATAAATTTTCATGAGGAGATGTTTCAACACCAAAACCAGATGTGTTAATTCCCTTTATTTAGAAAAAAGTATTTTTTAAGAGAAAAGAATTCAAGGAGCATCATGGTTGACTAAATGGTTTACTCTTTATCTACTCACTAGACTCAAATTTTCAGGCATGTCACAAACCATGCTTGGTGTAAGAACTCATTTATCATCAAATATATTGAGGTGATAGATGTGTTTCCTCAGGGACACCAGGCTTAGCACCAACCTCAACATGCACCTAAAGCAAGGCCTTGGGTTAATATGCTTCCTGCCATCAGACATCATTAAATTGGAAGTGCTCCCTATTTTCCTAAAGCATGTACTCCAGATATTATAAGGATATGTGATGAAACTCAACACAGAAAACCAAACTTGTTGAGATTCTGAATATTAACTGAAATATGAGAAAGTTAAGGAATCCTACATAAAAGTCTATCAAAAGCAAAGAGATACCTTCCTGTAATTCACATTTGAATTAATTAGTGGTAGTCAAGTAGGACAGAATGGATTTGTTGGCTCAAGAAGTAGAGGGGGGAAAACATCCTGCTACATACTTAAGATGCAGGGTCTTTAAACTTCCCTTTAGCATCTGGTGCCACGTTGCAACAGCGTGCATGGCTGTGCTTTCACAACGATCCAAGCCCAAAGAGTCTGGCTACTCTAGTGCCTATTACTTTATTTGCAAAACAAGATACTGATGTCTAATGTCAAACCCCACAACCACCCTCCATCAGTCCCCTCAGTGAAAAAAGGATAATCCCATCAGCCTTCATAAGGAGACGAATGGAATCCCAACTTACTAAAAGGGATAATAAGCTTTAAAAACAATCTTCTTGAAGGCAAAGACTCTTTGTTGGCCCTACTCCCTGGTGTCCTGGTACCTGGTATGGTACTCTCCCTGCCATGAACAGCTCAATAGGTATTACTCTCACCCAAACCCTATCTGCACAAGCATCTGAGATCATGAGTACAACTTTTCCTAATCAGGAACAGCTGGCTCCCAAATCTCCCTACACCCAGAAGATTCCACTGACATTTTTGCTAAAATGATTAAAGAACACACTCTTGACTATGATGTATAAGAAAAAAAATTCCCTCACATAAAATGGGAGAAAAGAGAAAAGAAAGAAATTTAAGACACTCTGGGCTGACAATGGCATTACATTAAAAAAAAAAAGATCAATATAAAGTAGTACTTGTTCACCCTAAAATTGAACAGATAAATGGGTTAATGCCCTTTTAACCTATCCATAAGAATCAAGTTTCTCAGGGGCATGCTCCTGCCCTGTCTTCATTCACATGGCTATTAGGGTAATCCCTTTGTTTGGTCTGTCTACATGGATTCCACACCTCGAGGTCAATGCACGCCAAGAACACACACAGAACCCGCTCTTGTCCCTTCTCCCATGTGGCTTTGTTTTTCTAAGATGCCAGTGCCTGTGTAAGGAGAATCTGATCTTAAACACTATCACTCTTCAGTAATTACAGAAATGAGGCAGATTTTGGTTAAAGCTTTTAAAATTCAAAGTCAAAATTAATTTAGTTTGCATTGCTACTTAGCCGTTAGATTTAGTAAGATTATTTTTTTTTTCAACTAAATGGCTAAACCGTATACAATTCTGATACCAGGTCGCTGAAACTCAATTCTGCAAGTATTATCATGTGTAAGAAACGCACTCTGTTTTACCTAAAAGGAAACAAAATTAACATCCATCTCATGAATTACTGGTTTTAATGATTACTGATTGAGCACAATTATAATTTGAGGACATAATTTGACCCACAATATAATCAGATGCTTGTTGTGATATTGCTTATGTTATAACAAGGGTCACTGATAACTGTATAGTAACTGCTTCCAATGTGGACGTAATTACAGGTGTGATATGTCCAAATGTGGTCAAATGATGAAGATTTGGAAGTTATATTAGCTTCGCATGCTGCTTCATTTTCCTATTAGACCCATCTGCCCATAGATCTCCTTACTTGTAAATACAAATTTTATGTACTAATATATGACATATAAAAACATTCACAGACAAGCATTCATACATTTCTTTTCTCTAAAGCCTCTATTATTTTTTGAAGCTAAAGTATGATTTAAAGATGCACTATTTTTCCTCATATTCTTGGAACCTGGATATTTTTTCACTATCACTGAGGCTGAATGGGTAAAAAGACAGTATTTGATTCTGTCCATGGTCAGCAGTAACAAAATGGATAATATCAAAATCTTAAAGCAGTGACTGAAGGGAGGGAAACCATACAAATAAAAGGGCAGGAGGACTGTCTTCCCTGTTGACATTTTTGAAGCTTTCTAGCCCACATATGCGATCACGGGTCTCTCGTAGTACCTCTGGCAGCTGGGGTAGTAAGTCCAATGAAGGAGGGAGGGTGGGGGAAATGGCTCTGACGTCCTGTCTAATTCAATATTTCCCCAAGAGTTTCACACACAGCTGGACCCAAATGCCACCTAAAACGGAAGTTCAGGATCAGGAGCACCAAATCCGGGTCCTCGCTCTGCCACTTATCTGGCTATGGGACCACGGGCCAACCAGGTATTTGGAATTTCAGTTTATTCTTCTAGAACATGTAGACATTAATATTTGTCTCACATATTCTCACAGAACCACACGATTTCATGGGTGTACTTGGCACAGCACCTGCCCTAGAGTAGGTCTTCGACAAATACTAGCTGGGTTCTTACTCCAGAGGCTCCCAGGAAAGATGAGAGAGAGTCTGGAAGTCCCTTTGAGATCTGGATTTGAATCCAGAAGCATCTGAAATCAAATGGGATCACGGAGAGAAGGCATAACTTGGCTGAAGGCCCTACGGAAGCCTGAGCTCCAAGTGCCTTTACTTACTTTTATAATGTCCCACCTCAAAGTAGCCTCAGCTGTTAGGCCCATAGTCGGGAGGTAAACAGGCGCTCTTCATGGCCATGTAACCCTGCACGCTATCACTAAGGGAAATGAGTGATTATTTCAGTTGTGATGTCTTGATACTTTGGGCCACCACCCCTGGTATCATATTATCTGTGTGTAATTCTTTCTTCCTCCGCAGTCATTTCAGTTTTCATTTTCAACCACACATGTCCACTGGTTAACTGTTTGTCTAGGACAGGATCACCTGGTTAAGATTACAAACTGCTCAGTGTCTCTATTTATTTGAGGGGGGTGGGGTGTGTGTGTGTGTGTGTGTGTGTGTGTGTGTTCCAGCACAGCAATGATAATACATATGATTCCGGGGAAGTAACTCTGATGAAAGAGTTCATAAAATGTACATGGAGGATGCTCAAGTATCAACCATAATGAAAACCTCAGACATTTAACAAAACATGTTCTCAAACTGTTTTCGAACTGGCAATTCCCTGGTCTCCAAAGGAAAATGGATCCTGCAAATAGTTTTTAACTTTTCTGGGAAATGAGACACCAAAGAAAGCTTAACGTGTCCATTTAAGACATTCAGACTAAGTTCATTACTTCTCCCTCAGTGACATCTTAGAAAATTTTCTATTATACCCCTGAGGCCCCAGAATACATAAAAAGGTAAACCATGGGTGTCAACTAAACTTACTTTGGTGATCATTTCGTAAGACATACAAATATCGAGTCCTTATGTTGTACACCTGAAACTAATGTCAATTGTATCCCAATGATAAAACGCACACAGAAGAGGTAAATCATTCTGTTCAAAGACTTCCAAATAGGTTTGTGTGAGCAAACTACAAAGGATCCTACCTCCTTAAAGTTGTCAAATGCTGATAAAATGATCTCATGCCCGCCTCTGACAAGACAAACTGCTGCCAACAGTTCTAAGACAAGGGCTTTTGTCCTGTCGAAACAAGAAGAAACAAGCAAAAAAAAAAAAAAAAAAAAAAATCAGTGAAAGTAACATGATGAGTCAGCAGCTCCCTCCTTCCAAGATGGCTATGATAATAAAATATTTGCTCCTGTATGTTAACACTTTTACTAAGGGCTATTTATATGAAAGTATAAATATACTTTTATTAACATCCACGTATGCGATTTATCCCAGGGAACAAATTTGGAAGGGAAGTTTCCCACTCCCAAAATTATAAATTACTCACTAATGAAAATCAATTCTGGGAAGATTAGACTTTCATTTCTACCAGTGGGTGACTCAGTACAATATGTTTGAAAAAGTTTTATTGATAAGCTGGAGAGCTGGGAACTTGGGAATATTCAGGAAAATAACCCACTGTTTCATTATTTTCCCCAAAAGTTCAAAATCTACTGAAATTAATGCCCTACATTTCAACTCCGCAATTTGCACATGGTGCCATAAAGGTCCCCTATGACAATGCAAGTTTCCATCACCACTTCTTCCTATGCAGGAGATCTGAGTGGGGCTGGATTACAGCAGTGCTAATACAAGAATATTTTCTGACTTGAGAAAAGAAAATAAAACTCCATCTGAAATATTTTTAGAAGGAAACCCTTAACAATACAGTCTAAGTTTTCAAATACAACATCAAGAACAGCATTGTTTTTTCATAGTAAGATCACTTCAGTACTTTTCTTTTCCTAGAAAAAAAGCTATTGCCAACCTCTACACGAAGACTGGCCTGATAATTCACTATGTCAATTATCTTAAGAAAAATGAGTAACAACTTCCTTATAGTGGAAGGCGGGGACACAGAAGGACTACCCAGATTTTTTAGTAAACTAAGGAAGCGATAGCAAAGTTGCAAAAACTATCATCAGAGGAAGTTTGAAATAATATTCAACATTTAAATAGGACTTTACATTTTTCATTTCATTCCGTATCAGAAAGGATCTCATTTGTGATCAGATTTTTTAGTTGCATTAACAAGTTTCAGATGCACAGTTTACAGAGGTATTCGGTGAAACGGAATAAGATGTGTGAAATGCAGAATCCCTCACCAGAATGGAAAACATACTACAGTAACTAAAACAAACTGATGAAGACCAGCTTCTAGAGATAACCTGTGATGTGAATAATATGGCAGTGGCCTTTGGAGGCAAGTGAACAGAAGAAGCAATCGGCATGAACAGTTATCTTTGTTTTGTGTTTCTGTTTTTGTTTGGTCATACCAACGACATATGTAAAGGTTTGCAAGTGAAGTGCGGACAAGGGATAGTGGTTGCAGTTAGCTTTCAGTGGTAAGTGGTATCACTAAGTCTGTATGAAGACTCTCCTGGCCCCAGTCCTAACCACGTGGCAACCTCATGCTCTCTACCCAATTGGTAAAATTTGCAAGGATGCCAAGAACCAGGCCTCAAAAGAAGTGAAAGCTTGAAGAAAACAGTGAAGGGGTAATGCTGTCATCAGTCTCTCGACTGCACCACATGTAAAACTGTAGCTCAGCTGAGAAGAAAATTCTACATAGCCAAGGGGTCCACTGGCAACCTTAATTCAAAGAGGTGCACTTGCAAGTTTCTGAACTCTAACTTGACTAAGTGTTGACTGGCTCTCTTCTTTCCCTAGTTAGATTTATTTACACTTGAAAAATTACAAAGTAAGCTTACCTTGGATTCTTGTTGTTCAAGCTCAGTGCGATCTCATTGACAGCATGTGGATGAGACATGACCATGTTGAAACCATACTGAAAAAAAAGCATTAGGAGTCAACTTAGGGGACTGGCCATGTTGATTAAAGGAAAAAAAAAAAAAAAGAACCTGAAGAGTCTACCTAATGTAATTTATACCATCATAAATGCAATTATGTCTCTAGTGCCTGAACGTATTTCTCTATGAAAAATTTTAGGAATCATGCTATTATCGAGGAACCATATTCTCTTCTTGATGACTGAACTATGGGTTTCTCTTCATTAAAATGGTGAAAAGCCTCCAGTCCAGTGATTCTCAATCTGGCTGCTCATCAAAATCACATGGAAGAGTAAACAAAACACAACACTGATTTTCCAGGATACACCCCAGGTCAATTTACTTCGAATCTCAAGGATGGGACCCTGGCATCTGAATTTTTAAGCTGACTTCACTGTGCAGCCCGGGTTGACAACCACTGCTTCTAGTCCCCTCTCTGGGCAATGGCTCTTGGGACCAAAGCCTAGGAAGACCTGCCTTGTTCTGAGACATGTTAGTTCCATGAAGAACAAGTTCAACAACAGGCTCCAGAATCACTCTTGATTCTGCTGACTTGAGGAATTATTCCTTCTCCTCCAAGCTCACTCTCAGTTCATGACCTTATTCCTAATTACCCTGAGAAAATGTAAGCAAACAGGAAAAAAAAAAAAAAAAACTTCTAAAAGCTCGCACCCCCACATCAATCCACCCATAGATCCATAGCTTTCGTCCTCACCTCTTCCTGAAGAACTTTCCTGGGCTCTAATCCAAGGCCATTCTCTCCATTTGAGTCTTTGATCCCATTCCCCCTCACCAGCCCAAGAACACATCCTATGCTCCAGCAATTCTCCCATCCCTCATTATTATTTCTCCCTCTCTGATTTATTAGCATAAAAACACAATGCAAATGCCCCCAACTGAAACAGTAACCACAACAGCAAAATCTCTTCTTGACCCTCAACCTGTGTCCAGCTACCACCTTGTTTCTCCTCCCCTAACCTCTACAGCAAAACTCCAAGCACTCTCGGTCTCCAACTCTCCTCCTCCTGCTGTCTCTTGCAGTCACTTCAGTCAGGCGTTTCATCCCCCCCTCTCCACTGAAACCGTCCATGCCAGAATCGCCAATGACCCACACTTTGCTAGGCCCGTGGCCAACTCTCACTTGTCGTCTTACAGTACTTAGCAGCAGCACTGGTCACAGCTGAGCACTCTCTTCTCCTGGAAACACTGCCTGTACTTGGCTCCTACCTCCCCGGCTACTTCTCAGTCTCTCTAGCTGGTTGTTCCTGAGCACTCCCACATTTAAACAGAGCGCCCAGGGTTCCTATTTTGGACTTCTTTGCTTATCTATCTACCCCTGTTGCTCTCGAGCATGCCCCTGGCTTTCTACACCATCTATTAATTCCCAAATTTACATCTCCAGCCTAGACCTCTGCCCTGAATTCCAGATTGGCATATCCGACCACTTAAGATCTCCATTTGGATGACTACAGAATCTTAAAGGGAACATCCCTAAAACTTCGCCCCTACTCTTGTCTACCAAATCTGCTCATCATGTAGCCTTCCCCATCTTAGTAGATGGCAACTCCATCTGAAGGGGGCCCAAGACAAACACCTTGGGGCCACCTTCCACTCCTCAACCACATACCCAATGTCGTTGCCTTTACCGTCAAAAGTAAACCAGAATCTGGTCACCTCTCATCATCTCTACTCCTTTTTTCCTGGCCCCATACCACCATCAACACTCACCTAAATCAATGCTGCAGCCTCCTAAGTGGTCTACCTCCTTCTGCCTTTGCCCCTCAAGGTCAATCCTAAACACAGAAGCTAGAATGGTCATGTTAAAATCAAGAGTCAGATCATGTCACATTTCTCCTCCGAACCACTCAATAGCTTTCCACTCAGAGTAAAGCCAAACTCCTTTCACTGGCTTAGAAAGCCCTACACAGTCAGGACCCTGTCTGAACTTCAGATTTCATCTCCTACTCTTCCCCTTCTCACTTACTCCGATCCAGCCAACCTGGCCTCCTTTCTGTGCTTCAAGCACAGCAGGCTTATTCCTGCCCCATGGCCTTTGCGCTCACCCCTTTTTCTACCTAGAATCTTCTTTCCCTAGAACCTCTTACCTTGTTCCCTCATTAAAATTGCTACTATGACAAATTGCTACTTCTCCATGACACTTCCTGGGCTGGCCTATTTAAAACTGAACACACATTTTCATCACTTCCTATTCCTATTTCTTGGGTAGTTTTTCTACGGTATTAGTAACAATTCTCTGGAGCTCGTCTTCCTGGATTTAAGTCTGACTCCAACCACTTACTGACTATATATGATCCTGGGCACATTACTTAACTTCTCTGTGCCTCAGTTTCCTCATCAGAAAAATGGGGAGAGTAAAATTACCAATCTCGTAGGACTTTTATGAGCTTTAAATTAAGTGAATAGGCTTAAAAGTGTTGGTCCTATTAGGAAGCACTCTGTAAGTGCTAGTTTTGTTTTTGGGGTTTTTATTTTGTTTTGTTTCTAAGTGTTAGCTTTTGTTTCATTTCCCCATCATTATCATCTGGAACACTGTATGTTTTCTCAAGTTATTTATCATCTGTTTCCCCTCATTAGAGAGTAAGTTCCCTGGGGCATTTATTTATTTATTTAATGCCATATTCCCTCTGCCTAGAACAGGGTCTATCTGGCAGTGCTCAAAAAACAGTGATTGAAAGAAGACATAAAATGCTCATTCCCCTTCTCAAATTCAATTCAGCACCCTTCTGTTGAGTTTGAATTCTAATACTGACCCTCTCTACCTATGCATTTATTTTCCACTTCTGCTTGGACACACCTTCAGCTCCCCTATCCATGGATATCTTTTCATTTGAATTAGGTTTTTCCGATTCTTAAACCCTGGTTCCACTTATCTAACTTGGAACCTGTCAATTCACCCTAGATACTCCAAGCTCCAACTTCAACTTTGTTGTTAGAGCTAATCCAACCCACACGTTAAGCTGTCTCTCTCCCTGTTATGATGGGGATCACCCTCATCAAAATAACCTAGAGGAGGAATCTGCCCTTTGAACAAGAATCCTCCAGGTGCTTCTTATAAAGATTAAGAACCACTAAGTCCAGGGGCGCCTGGGTGGCTCAGTTAAGCTTCTGCCTTCAGCTCAGGTCATAATCTTGGGGTCCTGGGATCGAGCCTTGAGTCAGGCTCCCCGCCCACAGCAGGGAGTCTGCTTCCCCCTCTCCCTATGACCCTCCCCCACCTGCTTGTGCTCCCTCACACACTCTCTCTCTCTCTCAAATAAATAAAATTGTTAAAACTTTTAAAAAAGAACCAAGTCCAACAGACAGTAATTCTAACTTCCCACCTTTTTACCATATAACCCTTTGAAAACAAATGACCCATGTGAGAGTCTATTCACTCCTAACATTCCATTATCGCCCACAACCAATGGCTTACTGTCTTTAATGGTCACATTTACCCAGTAATAACCTAAACAAGTTTATGACTGTAGGAGGAAAATATTTTCCCTCTAAATACATCACAAAGTATAAATGTTAATTAAAATACACAGGCACTGAGTTAAATCTTGAGCATTAAAATGAACCACACCCTTTCTTTTTTAGTACAATCACATTAAATCCTGGTATTTACTTCAAATAGAAATAATACGACGAAATCAAAGAGGACAAGATCTGAATCTGACAATTTTTTTTTTTAAAGAATCAGAACACAAACCTACCTGGTAATTCATGATGGCACGTAAACACATGATACAGACATGTACGTCATCTTTCTTACTCACTAATCTTGAATTTTTCAGGGTTCTTCTGCTTGGCAAAGTATTATATCTACAAATAAAAAGGGAAACTTCTATAAAACTATAGATTACCTTCTCAGCACAGGCATGGTGCATTTAAAAAATGGAAACTGTTCTCTATCTTTACCTGCACCTAATGAGGATTGTAGTTTGAAACCACCACCATCAAACCCATCACCATGAAGCTATTTCTGTAGACATCAAGGCCTACATGATTCTATGTACTGGTCATCATCTTGTCAAACCAGATACTATGGACAATGGCACTTAAGTTCATTCACAGCATATAACACATCAGATTATACATGAGATTCATCAACACCCCCGAGGCTCCTAATCAGGAAACCAAGCTACAACTGCAGAGGTGATTGCAAACAACATGCTTGCAGAATTTGCAAACAAGTGAAGGGGTGAAGCTTCGTTTATACATAGACCTCAAATCATCTGACCCCAGTTAAACTGCACCTTCCCATTGCTGCTCTCAGGAGTCCGTGTTAGGAGTTTAAGGCTAGGCAAGGCCATGCGTTAGCAACTTCGGTATCAGCCTGTGATATTAAGACCTTAACAGTATGCAAATGCCTCCTCAGCCTGATCCCGCAAGTAAAGCCTGGTGTGAAAGCTGAAGCTGAGGTGGAAATGTGCTGGTATTTCACAGGGTGAGGAGGTTTCCATGTTAAGACTCATTCCAGAGATCCCACATTGCTAAGCCTTAGTTCTCCCATCAAGATTTCTCAGAGCCTACACATAGTAAGAAAGTGACAAGGTCAACGTGGTGCCAGGAGACAAGCTAATGCCACCACCAAGAGCTTCCAAGTGAGCTGGGAGTGCCTCCAAGTGCAGTTTTCTCTGCAACTCCAAGCCTGAAGTAAAAGCCAATTTGAAAAATTGTCAACTACTCTCTGATAGCGTCAAAGACAGAAATGATCTACAAAATAAGTCACAGGCCTTCCTTCTTCGTGAACTAATTAAAGAATTTAAAGGAAGTTCTGATTGTTAACCACTTTCAAAAGCCCCACAGGTGCAAAGAGTTGAAAACTGAATTGACAGGTTTGAAACTGTTCCACTGAGCAGCCCTTTTAATTCATTTTCTATTCAAAAACTATCAAACAGATGATTTTTTGCACATAAGCCTATAAATGAGCCAAATACATTTGAGAAAAGCACTTCAATATGTCACTTGCCTCCATACACCTGAATGTATAAAATTTACTTATGCTAGTCTCAAGGAGAATGCTTTATTTTTTTTGCTTTGTGTGTGTCATGTCTGTTTTACATGAATATGCATAGACACACGTATTAAGGAAAAATAGCTACAAGAAAATATGATAGAAATTCAATAAATTATACCATAATCTCAGGTGATGTGGTTGTAGATTTTTCTTTTTTGTTCATATGTAATCTCTAATTTTCCTATAATTAGAAAAACTTTTATAATAATTTACTATAATCAAAAAGAAGAAGAAGAAGAAGAAGAAGAAGGCTTTATTCAAGGACTTCCTGCCTTATTCACACTTGGAAATAAAACTGCAGCAAGGGAAGTTGGCCTAATTCAGCTCTGAATGCAAAAACAAAGTTATGGAAATGAATTCAGATTTCGGTGGGAGGAAGCACAATTTCAACATCTAGAACAACTCTAAAACATGTCACTTCACCACAGCCCCAGCCTGAGCATGTCTGCTAACACACCACATGGAGGTCTCACAGAGATTGGTGCCTGTTCAAACAATAACCACACAGCCAGCCTGACCCCAATGTCTGCGGGCTTCTTCGTCTGTATCAGAAATTCTTTCCCCGCCTCTTTCTTAATTTAGTCTAACCTGTTTTGCATTTCTTTAATGGCATCACTTGTTAAGTATATTATAGCGGACGATAGAGGGCATTTTTAATCAAAAGCAGTGGCTAACCAGAGCAAAACAAAGTTATCTATGATTAAGTTCAAAAAAGAAAAAAGGTAATTTTCGAGGGAATCAACTGTCCTTGTTGCTAAATTATATTTACATGCAGCAATGACTGCAAGATCTACTGAACAAAGCAAGTGACTCTGGAAGGCAGAGGGATAGGTCAATTCTACAGAGTTGCACGTTTCTGCATCCCTTCCACATGCATTTTAATGATTCTGCCAAACAGACCAAACATACACATTAATGGTGTTTCCTAAGAGATGTAAAGTTACATAAGCAGGTTCCTTCCTTTCACTTAATAATCCAGTTCTTCAGCTTCAGGATTGTAAGAAGACTCTAAAAAGTAAAATGTCTTTGTCATTACTTGCATTATTTGTAGAAAGTAGCAAAAATGGATTATGACATTTTAATTAGTAACACAAGAGGTTTCTACTTATTGTAGCAGGTGGGTGATCTCAAATATACATTTTGGATCAACATTTAAAATGTATTTAATATAAAACAGCACATGAATACTTATCAGTATTTAAGGAGCTTAAAAATTATGTCAAATAAAAACAAAGTATATTTTATTGATATTCTATGCTTAAAAAATAGAGATAAACTTCTTCCCTAAGTGTACAGCATTTAATCTAAATTTTGTTTTTCCTCCCATTTTTGGTTTATACAGGAATGGAGAATTAAAGGCAGCATTTGAACTTGCTGTATTTAAAATCATAGCATCACAGTATGTCTTTAAAAAACACCACAACCAATAACAAAAAGCATCAAAAGCCAAAGGAGATGCGTGGTATCATTTTTACCAATCTTTCCTGCCGTGGATCAGCAAACGGAAGCCCAAACAAATTGCAGCCACACAGCAGGTAAAAAGTAAGAGACAAGACGCCAAGTGTCCTCACTGGGATGCAGGGCAGTTTCTTCTTACAAGCTGCAACTCACAATGTCAGGTGATGTGAAAAAGCTACTGCCTACAGCCATCTGTTCCGGCAAGTTCTTTGTCGAATGCTCATTTCCGTCATCCTGACAGCACTGGGTCTAGATAGGTGCCATTCCCCCACTCCCACCAATTATTTCACCAGGCGGGGTTAAGGCATCTTTTTCAGAACACCGTGGTCAAGGCACTCGGTAAGCAGTTTTGTTTTTTTAATATTTTATTTATTCATTTTGGGTGAGTGACAGAGATGGGGTGGGGGAGGGGGGGAGAGGGACAAACAGACTCTGCGCTGAGCCCAGAACCCGACACTGGGCTCGATCCCACGACCCTGAGATCATGACCTGATCTGAAAGAGTCAGACGCTTAACCGCTTAACCGACTGAGCCACCCAGGTAAGCAGTTTTCTTTTTAAATCTTTATCCTATATCACTTACCAGAAAAGTGAAGTTTTTTTAATTTAATGTAATTTAAATAATTTAATGTAATTTAATTTTTAATCTCATTTAATTTTAATTTATCCTATATCATCAGAAAAGTGAAGTTTTCTTTTTAAATCTTTATCCTGTATCACCTATCAGAAAAGTGAAGTTTTTTTTAATTTAATGGGAAATTTTGCTCCATATTTTGGAACTCTTATTCTAAGAGAATTTTCTCTCATTAAGTAAATACAAGCCGAAAGAGGTCACAACTCTTTACCTCTGCAAATACAAATATTTGCAGATAACCTAATTTAGGATCACATTAAATCTCTTTGGCTTGATTTTAGGGACTGTGCCATGAGTTAGCTGGTACATTCATCTACTCTTTAACAAGCACATATTGTGGAATTTGACAATCTATTTAATTAAATATTCGGTTTATTTGCTTTAATTATCACCTGATTGACTTAACACCTTTTTTTTTCTGTTTGCATAGTTTTAAATTCAGCTCTAATGTATTGGGAGTACCCAAAAAAACATGTCCCTATGTAGCTGGTTTGAAAAGATCCCTTTAAATTGACCCTAAAATACCAACAGAGTTAAGACTAACAATTTCCTGGATCCACTTTAACCACAACAAGGACACCTGGACAAGGTGAGCTATCTAAAAGCACTGGCCTTGATTAAGGAGTACACTTGTGTTGTGATGAGCACAGGATGATGTATGGAAGTGTTGAATCCCTATACTGTGCACCTGAAACGAATATTACACTGTGTTAACTGGAATTTAAATAAAAACTTAAAAATAAAAGTACTTGCCTCCTCTGATGTTCTCCACCAGCCATAGGAAATGAAACTAAAACTCATGTTTAAGCTCCAATGTTGATTTTATTAAACATCTCCTGTTTATGCTAAACCTACTAAGTGTTAAGGAAAAACAAAAGATAACGAAAGACGTTGCTTCTGCCTTTAAGGACTCACCGCTTAGTTTAGGAAGCAAGAGATAACTACATTGATAGCCCCTGTATGAAATGTGCTCTGCCCACACTCCAACCTCAGCCCGGCCTTCTGCTTCATGCACATGATCATGTACAAAATAAACTCAGCAGGACACACACCTGCACTGCACAATATGGTAGAGTGATGACAGTCACATCTCAAAGAAGTATCATACTTAAAATCCCCATAGAGTGAACCTTTCTTCAATTGAGCCAGATTTGACTGAGTTAATAGAGACCTATTCCTGGAAACGGTCTTTAGGCATATGAAAGGTGTTTTCAAATAGGGCTCTGATTCAAGAAGTCAGTCTAAAAGGGATGGACAAATTGTAGGGTGAGTCACATAAAGGCGACATGACAATGAAGATAATTGAACATGAACTATTACCAATGCATATTTAAAACGTACCCATCTCTTGTAATCCTTGGATTCATCATTTTTGTATTTTAAGTGTGGATGTGTGTTACTTTCCAAATAAAGAAAAAAAAAGCTGCACAAAAACAAACAGTTGTAGATGGTCTAGGTTTAGATTCCCCTAAAGACAGAGGGCCAGCTAAGGGTGTGATCATAATGCCTTTTCCACTTCAATCATCCTGTAGAATGTTTTCCAAAAGGCCTCTGATGTGGAAAGCTGGTCCTGCTCTACCCTCATAAAGCAACGTGTAGCATTTCTGGGATGAGGCCAAATTCCACAACACATGTAACAAAAGAACCCAGTATCATCAGAAAAACTGGACTTTGAAAAAAATCTCATTCCCTGGTGCTGCAAATGTCCACC